AAATCTGCACCTCAACTAGGTAAGAAGTTAGAGGGGGTTGTTACGCATTTTCTCACAAAAAATAGAGGTTAGGCAAGACAAGAATAAAGGAAAAGTGATGGAAACGAACCTTAGGAAAGAAGAATTTGGAAACCCAATTTAAGCTAAAAGAAGCATTTAATGAAACAAGAAGGCACACAACTTTCTTACCTTATAATAAGGAGTAATTGTAATAAATAACAAGAATAACTGGGTTTTTACCAAAGGGAAGACAGATCATACAAAACATAGATCAAGTTGTAAGACAATATAGAAAAAACATGGTAACCATGGATATATATATGGAACATACCGCGCCCCTTGAACCCTGCAAGGGATTCAACAGATTCTTTCAGGGACTTAATAAGGGAGCATATATATATGGACAATATAGAAAAGACATGGTAACCATGGATATATATATGGAACAGGGGTCGAAGGGACTTTTGGATCACCCTGTATTTAGCTCACCACGGACTCTTCCACGCAGCTTGTATAGAATTCGACGGGCAAGTTCCGCCACAGGTTTTGCATTTTCTTTGATTGTGATTTTGCATTTGGTGTCTTTAACACAGCCTACACCTTGAAAAACTTCATATTTTTGGATCAAAGATTTATACTCAGCGGTAATTGTGTTAACCTGTTTCAATATTCCTAATTCTTTGCATGATTTAAATCCTAGAATAGGAGAAGAGTTTACTTCAGCAATTATGAATTTTATTATATGTGATTCATTAGCATTTTTATTTACACATTTTAAATTGCATTCGCCTGTTACATTTATTCTGTCACCTGTTATGGTGCTTAGCTTAACATTCGTCTCCAGAATTTTTCTTTGGCCTAGCAACCTCTTACACAAATTTTGAGGGATAATATCAGCTTGGGCTCCCGTATTAACAAGAAAATTGCAGTAATAGTCATTAACATTCAAGGTGATATACCATTGTTCATCTTGAACCCCATTAACAGCACCAATGAAGAGGCTAGGTCCATCATCGTCCGTCGATTGGTAGTCTTCTTCATCGCTGGAGAATTGATTCTCCACAAGCCTGACGCTTCGCTTGTTGCATACCCTCTTCAGGTGATTGGGTTTTCCGCAGACGGAGCCGTTTCTTCCTATGACAGGACATTTACCAGTGTAGTGGATGGAATTTCCGCACGATTTGCAGGACTTCTGCTTTCCAAAGCTGGATTGATGCCCGTGTTGAGGATTGTGGTTGCGGCTGAAGTTAGACGATGTCGCTTGGTCACAGATAGCACTGCTTCTCTCACGCCTTCCACGTCCCCTGAAATGGAGATGTTGCATGTGTGAGGAATTTGCGATTTGACTGTTGATTTCTATGTAAAAGTTCGCGAGAAACACTATGGTGCCACTGGTTTTCTCTGAAATCAACTCCCAAGCTCAAAGAAGCTCTCAAGTTGAGGCCAAAATGGAGGGGATATCCCACCCTACCCTGAGAGTCCCTGTCTACATCAAGACAAACTCTCCATGCAAAGATAGGGAGCAAATACATTGACAGGGCTGCCAATTTATTTGGGGACTCCAAAACTGAAAACACGGCAACCCTGCTAATGTATTTGCTCCCTATCTTTGCATGGAGAGTTTGTCTTGATGTAGACGTGGACTCTCAGGGTAGGGTGGGATATCCCCTCCATTTTGGCCTCAACTTGAGAGCTTTTTTTGAGCTTGGGAGTTGATTTCAGAGAAAACCAGTGGCACCATCGTGTTTCTCGCAAACTTTTACATAGAAATCAACAGTCAAATCGCAAATTCCTCACACATGCAACATCTCCATTGCTGGATCTTCCACGTTCCACCTTGTTCACCGGTTGATTTTCGGCCGGTTCCTCCATTGACTTGGACTGTAATTGTGACGCGTGCATTTTCTGAGCAAACAGCACCGCTATCCAGCTTCCTCTCTTTCATTAGGAGTTGCACCCTAATGTCATCGTGCTGAGGAAGAAGACCGGCAACTAAGACAGATTTCACGATTTTGTCGTTTTGCTCTTTTAGTTCACAATTTGTGGCTAAGTTCTTTAACTTCGTCATTTCGTGACATACGTCTCGATGGATTCGTCCGGAGCTTGCTTTCGGGTGATCAGCTTATAAATTGCAATATCTACGTTTCTTTTCGGAGAATAGAAATCATTAAATTTCTTAATTAAAGCATCATGTTTAATCTCTTTATGAGAGGCGTTGAAGGAATAATACACTAAGTTGGCTTCCACGCCGATATGGTGCAGCAAAAGAGCATTTTTTCTAGTGTCGGGTTCGTTCTCGAGGTTGGTCGCGCATAGAAAAATTTCAAATTTTGTCCCCCATTCTCTCCATGCTACACTAATGTTGCCTTTCGGCTGAAAAGGTTTGATTGAAGAGAAGACAGATCGAGAGTTCGTGGCAGATTGCTGAGCAGCAGCATTCGTCGTGTCTTGCATGATAAAGGAAAATAGGCCACTTGCAACTGATTACAGAATATTGATTTCAACACACATAGGTAGCACTCTGGTGTGAAATTTAAAAGAGAGAGCTCGAGTTAGCACATCGAAAGCATTTGCTGCTATAGTTCAAAAGAAGATGAATGAATTCATCTCGCACTTTCAGACGCGTTTCAAAAATATGCTGCTTGGTACGCTAGCACGCACTTTCAAAGTTCGATGTCGCACGCATTTTCACCCGCCGTGTTTGACGAAAAACGGTTACGCGTAGAGCTCAAAACTACCGATTTCGCGAAACTGCGAACGGAGAACGGGTTTCGGCACTAATGTTTGAATAGGAGCAATCCTAATCAAGAAAGGAAAGGAGATAAGACGAAAAGACAAGACGATAGCTAGGCAGCCATGATGAATCTATAGTGGGTTGGATCGGCTTCCGGCCGTCCTCGGTCACAGTAGTGTTCAGGAGAGCACAGCGCTCTCTATATGAGATATGATATACTAGATCACTATCATAACAGTTTTAAAAAAAACATAAATAGTAAAAAAGTAGATTAATTTTGGAAAGAAAGTAGTGAACAGCACATGAATCAAATAAACTAAAATGATAGTTTTTAAAATGAAGAAAAATAAACAAGTGAAATGAAGGGAAATGAATAAATGAAGACATATATGTGACAATGGCGGTCGCTGACATCCGCCATTTTTAGGACAAACGCTTTTTTCGAAATCTAGAGCCTCCAAGAGTGCCTGTGCAAAGTTTCAGACTTCCCGCACAATTTTTCGGCGAGATATAGAACTGAAAAACATGTTATTTGTAAAAACAGCGGATGTGAAAATCCACTGTTTTCCCCGGCCGGCGCGGCAGGACACTGTGGAAATTCGAACCCACTTGCGATAACTGCCCGCCCACCGGCCATGGGCTGTAGCTGACACTCAAATTATATGTATCGGGACCGTCTCGCCAGAATTGTTGAATTTTTATCTGATTTTAGAATTTTTTCCTTGTTTTTGTTGTAAAAGTTACAAACGGTCCAGTGTCTTGTTCAATTTTGTTAAATGACTCAGCATTGACTTACTTTCGGTTTATTTCAATCGTTTCACCAGCCTTACCCTTCCTGAAAACTTTGTTTCATGCATAAAAAAGTGTTTGCAGTAAAAATAGCGAGTGTCACATTTTTTTCAAATCGCTGTTTCTCCTTCAATTTTTCACTTACTTACATCGTAAAACGTGTGTTTTTTACCGAAAGAGTTGCTCCTCATGAAAATCTTTATAAGAATCCCCTCGGTTCTACGGGCGAAAAAGTGCAAAGCTTCAAAAACTTCAAACGCGATTTTCTCACTATATGAAAACTCGACATCCGCTATTGTTACAGATACCTAAGTCCTCAAATATATAATAAATATTAATGTCTTAAAGAGGTGCGTCGATGCGTGCAAAACGGGCCATTTCACGCTCGTGTCGGATACCATTGAAACTTGCCCTATTCATTCATCTAACAATAATGCCCTGATGGTATCCCCTATGAGTTTTAAAGAAAACTTAGAAACCAAACTTAGATTTCAACATGATCATTTTTAGTATAGATCATCCTAGTGTTTCTTGGTAAAGTCCACCTCTAACCTCTCCATTTTCGGCGATTGTGGTTTTCGGAGCGTAAGTCCGGCATAAGAACTTTTCAATTAAGGCTGTGGTTCTATCAGAGAGGCTCTCTGTTGGTCCTAAACTAGCTGGCCAGAGCTTCAAGGATATTAGCACTGGCGCCTTGAAAGGCTTTCCCCCACATTTATTTTATTTTTTTTCCAGTGTCACAGCCAGATAGCGCCGGCAGCGCATAGAAGCCTGTAAGGGACCAGTCCATCAGTTAACTCATTTTTGGTTACTTCGCGGGATACTGATTGTATCATAAATGAACGACTTACTCACATTTGTGGTTGTTAGTATCTTATACTGACTTAATTCAAAAGTTCAATTGCCGGATTTACGTTCCAAAAACCGCAATTGACAAGATCAGCGAGGTTACTTAGAAATAGTACATCTTTACGAAGAAACACACTTATGATGAACATTTACCAGCGACCAAAGAGGCTATGATTCCAGCTATTCAAAAAGCAAATCTCAGATCATGGCTCAGCAACAAGATATTCATCAGAAATAAGTTATTCGACCGTCAGCAAATCATGGCTTCAAAGAATGTGACGATTTTTCCAAGCCTGTTAGAACGAAACTTAGCGCACTCTCTTTTCTTCTAGGGATTATAAAGTGTTTCTGTAAGCAAAGGAGGTGCAATCAAACCGCAGCTGTCGAGACAATGAAGTAGAATGCACCGAAATGTGTGATTGCAATCGAAATCCAGACTTTTGCGATAATACCGTCGATAAAGAACTGTTGGACGACAAAATAATATTAACCAGTGATAATGACGAAGAGTGATTACAACATTTTCTAATCATTCATGCCAAAGTTTCGTTTTTAAGATAATGTCAGTTGACTTCTTGCTGTATCTTACTGGCTTGATTACTACATTTGTTATTTCTTTCCTATATAGATCGTACTTTTTCCTGGTGTTTTGGTCTCCTTCTACTTCCTCTGAGGTACCCTCGAAGTTGGTATAGTTATCTTTAACTTTAACCTTACATTTACTTATCAGTCGAGATTTCCTCATATTCTACCATTGTTGAAGAAATTGACGTCAATTAGCAAGATCGAGCTCCATCGCCGATTCTAGCGGTGGATAGAGTCCCTTTATACCCAGAGTTAAGACAACTCACTTTTGGTTGGGCTGAAAGTGGCCTAAAAAAAATCCAATTCTGATTGGTTCTCGCTCATGGAGGCCGAAACGAGTGCACCAAGATGGCGGTACCTCGAATGTGAACAAGAATAATGAAAATATTACCTAATTGTGGTTTATCAAGAGTAAATTGTTATTTCCATAGGTCCAAAATGAAAATAGATTAAGAAATTATTCACAAACCAACCTCATTTTCTTTTTAATGAATTACTTTGTTGATGTTGTTGTTTTTGTGTGACAGACATCGCAGGATTCCTGATCCTTATCCCTCAATATCGTTCGTTTGGGTGCACTCGTTTCGGCTTCCATGGCCAGCCAAGGCCGGCTGCCAGTCAGCTGATAATCGAGTTGTCTTAACTCTGGGTATAAAGGGACTCTAGCGGTGGACGGTGCCAAAGCGGAATCGCTTATCCACATAGAGGAGCGGCAGTGTAGCTAGAGATATTCACCCGTTTGAATGTGGATACCCCTCGTCGGACTCGGAGTTCAGGCGCCGCTACTCGCGGCATCCGGAGCGGCTTTGTAGCAATGACGCAAGCGGCCCACGCGCGGCGTCACGCAGCGCGTTCCTAGCGGCAGTTCTGACTGATAATGAAATTTATTCGGGGTTTTTATTTCTTTTACAAAACATCGGATCTTCAGGAAATAGATCTATATCTCAAGAGATTATAATTAAATTTTGAGGCTAAAAAGCTCAAAAATAAAATGTCAAAAATACCTCTGAAAAAATAACACAATCCATGAAATTTTTTCTTGTATATTTTTCACTTTATTCCTCAGTTTTTTAGCTTCAAAATTTCAGAAATCAGGCACTCTAGAGATGTAGATGTACTTCCTGTGGATCCGATTTTTTTAAAAGTAACCCCAAAAGAAAACTTAATTTTTTTAAAAGAAAACTTATAGTAAAGACCTATACTTATAATGTACTTATATCAAAGTGTTTTCGATAGGTACACAAAACACCAAGTCAAAGTTATTAACCAAAGTTATTTTCCATATTACCTCGAAAATCTATTTTTCTAGGAGACAAATTGCCTCTTGGATGAATTCGATGTCGCTAATAAAACTTTTTATATTGAAATACTAATTATATGTGATTGCAGGAACGTTAACAGAAATTCTCATAATTCTTTCCCCTATGGCTAACTAGATTTATTCTCAACAATGTAACAAAGGAGAACATTTAAAGTCAAGAAAAAAAGAAGAAAAGAAAAAAACTCAGATGTATACCAACAAAGATATTTTATTACCATGATATCATTCCAAATAGACTCGTTTCTAAATTTAAGATGTACATTGATGATGTACAAGATGATCTTTTCTCTAGGGCAAACTAGAGATTTAAGAGAAAATTTTATTACCTATAGTTCAGTTTTTTCATTAATTAAAAAAGTTGATTTATGGAACACATTGCACAAGTAATAAGCATAATTTGTATGAAAATAAGAAATTCTGGAGACTAGCCATATCTTAAAACATTGGTTTTGATAACTTATTATTCTTCTACAACCCTGTTGATAAGATTCTCCTCTCGGAATCGGCACTATTAAGTAGATGTAAGAATTATTATCGATAAAATTGGAAAGCGGACGAAAGAACAGTATTAATGACTTTAGCCGTATTTGATGGAGCCTCAACATACGTCCAGAATAGGATGCTGCAAATATTTTCTATCAAATCTCATCGAAGCTGACAATGAATCTTCACCACTTTCTCAAGGAAAATATAACTTTTGCCACTGTATCATCAGAAGTCGTTCCAAGGATATATCCTTCATTCCTCACAAAGACATTGAAAGACATTCAACTCCATATATTGTTGAAAATCCTGACATCGAAGGATGCATGTCATTGAAAATCCTAAAACATGTCGTTAGGAATTCTAGGATGATGAATGACATTAAACGGCGCATGTCATTGGTCATCCTACGATTATGGATGACACATGTCATTGGTCATCCTAGGATAATCAATGACACTGAAAGACACATGTAGCTGGTAGCACAAAGGGAGCATGTTTGCCATAGGGAACCCTGCAAAGATGAATGAAGTTTGATGTAGAAAATGTATACCAAGGTATTGATTGATGCGCCACATCTAGTCCGAATAACGCTTACTCCAGTAACTCTTCATTAGTCACCGGTGTAAAATATCGTGAGATTTTGACTGCGAGACCCTCAGTTTTGGGGGGATGGAGGCACACAATGTCTTTAATTTAAGCTTAATAAGTTATAATGATAAATCATGACATTCAGGTCCACTTAAATGATGCCGACAAATACAGCTAGATCACTAAAAAGTATGACAGAAAATATTCAAGGCTTTGAACTACATGAAATCAAAATTTTCAGGTGATATACAGCACAAATATGTAACTCAGACTTGAGAGGGCATCAAACTATGCTGAGATGATGTTTCATGATGAGCATCAAAAGAAACTGCTTTCTACAGTTTATCAAAGTCCTTCTGTGTTGAAAGAGTATGCGTTAAGAAATTATATGAAAAAAGACTCGCCAAATATAAAGTTCTTCTTTAAAACTTAAATTCAGAACAGTTTGGTTTTACCTACTGATTCAGATATTTAGGCATTTCCAACACTGAACTTAAGTACACTTTTCTTCTTCGTTTGAAAAAATTAATATCTGGACAAATCAAACTTTGAAAGTCACTGTTTATGATTATTTAAGTTGCCTACACTAAATCTTCCTTGATATCAATGTTGTTTGAAGCACTAAATGATGAATTTTGAGGTGATTTGACTTTGCTGCTAACTCTCTACCAATGATTGCTCAGATACAGGATGGGCAATCAGATCATAGAATATTAGCCGCTTGGAAATTCCAGAATACTTGGAAATAAATCTGAGTGCAGATGCTCGTCTGGAGTGAGGCCACTGAAAAATAGATGAAGAAAATGACATTACACATTAGCTTCACACATAATAAACCCAACTTATGTTTAGTTCTTATACATTTACTCTGTTAAACGAATCAGCGATTGTTATCATTTAAATATTGAATACTTCAGAACTAACGCATAAAAGTTCTGTGAAAATCACCATTTCATTTCCGTTGACTTCTGAGAGACTCCGCAACCCCTTGAGGTATGTTATTCAAGGTACACTCTACTACAGGTATGGACAAATGGAATTTTAGAAAGTCGTCAAAACGCGTAGATTTGACAGCATCGAGAGTACGACTGCGAATGGCATGTGTGGCAAATGGACGGTACGACTTCATACGTCACTCGATCGCCGATTTTCTCAGCGCTGCCACTTCGGCACCCCGTTTGTCCATACCTGTAGTAGAGTGTACCTTGTATGTTATTGTGAACAAATACTCCACACCCAAAGACATAAAGACGGTAGACGGAGTGCTCGTATCTAAAAGCACGGGAAAAAAGTGAAGCCTGGTTTGGCGCTGGGTGCTTTGAGTGTGTAAATGAGCGCGGGAATCCATGGCGGCAAACGGAAATTTGATTTGAACTTGTCCTCTTGATTTTTCCTTATTTCTTCTTCTAAACGTGTTTTAAATGCCTAAAACGATTATATTAAGAAAGTTCGGTCTGCGTCCTAATATAATACACCTACTTTTGCTCAGTAACAGGCAGTAATCTCAGATAAAGTTAGTTTTTCTTCTGCTCATGGTGGTTCTGCAGGTTCAAACAGGCCGTTACAGTGCTAGATGACCGTTACTCCCAAATGAAATTAATCGGTCGACGACGGACCAAAACTAACCTAAAGTTAAAAAAATATGAGTGGGTAAGTGAATTTGGGCAAAAATCAACCTAGAATACTTTGTTTCCGCAATTTTATTTAGTTCCCGCCCTACATTTAAATTTCAAACTTGTCCCGATTTCCCCGCCAATCCTCTAGCCAATAGTAGAGGTGGTCGAAAAGAAGCTTCATTTTTTGCTTTTAGCCCTCCGTCTTCATGTCTTTGTCCACACCTCACAAGGACCACCCAGCGGATGAAACCAAAATCAATTACTCATTGAGTTCAGCTTATCTCATCCGAGATAGGTTACAATGGACTAGAGTCCCTTTATACTGAGAGTCAAGACAATGCGAATCCATTTCTGATTGGTTAACCGGATTTTAGGCCTTCACAGTGTCACAAACGGGAATAAAGATTACATTTTCACCAATTGCAAAGATTATAATCTGGAATGGACCGAGGAATTTCGGGTTCGACAAGGAACAAACGGAATGAGAGAAGGAACCAAGAAAGGAATTTAAGAATGAGCCGATCAAAGATTACGAAAAACGTTCAATTTGTGTAATCTTTATTCCCGTTTGTGACTCCATGAGGGGTGTTGTCTTGACTCTCAGTATAAAGGGACTCTACAATGGACAAGGACAATTGGACCGCGTTTCACAGAAAGGAACCAAGCCACATCAGCTATTGCCAAATTTAAGTAATTGGGCAATTTAATTTTTTACGAGAGAATGTTTGAAGATTCCTTTGAAAATTTTAAGGAATTTGCCATAGGACCCCCAACTCCGGTTAGCGCTGACATCAGCGCTCCCTGGCAGAGGGTGTAGTGAACTAAACCGATGATTGGGTTTTCCTGTTTATATTTCCATGCACCACCTATTTAGGCTTATCACTCAGTAGTGCAAGTGCTCATAGAAGTTTCTAGATCCTCGTATCCTCGTGGTCGCCCTGCAGTTTTGAAGAGTTTAGTGTGAAAAGTTTCCCATTTTCATTTCAATCTTCGTCAGTCTTCGTGTACATAAACTGGTATTAATGTGAAGTGTTATTTCTAACCGTTTTACTCAGCAGCAACTGCTGTTGAGAAAGCCAAAGGAAGTGTGTATGTAGTGTGCAGCAGGAATCAGGATTGTACTTTTAGCCGAAGGCGCCTCTCTGTTAAGTGAAATCTTTTTAGTGAGAAATAGTGTTGTACTGATAAAAATCAACTGAGTGTCACAAAATCAAAGATACTTGACTTCAAGCATTACCTTTAATTTGATTATTAGCAAGTCTCTTTGATTCTGCGTCAGAAGTTGACTGAATCATCTTTGCTCGTGTTTTGATAAGATACTTCTAATCAAAGTCTTTCGCATTGACCTCTGCAGAAGGTATGTATCTATACAATTTCATTAGTTTGCGAAAGTAAAATGTATTAAAGTATCTACACAAATAAATAAATCATAGATAAACAAAGAACATTGCATGGAATAACATACTATAGAGGTACGATCGTGGACCGCTGTGGCGTTAGTTCACCGCACCCTCTGCCAGGTTCGCTGCGAGCGCGCGTTAACGGTTTTTAACACAGGTTAGCATAGGGAGTTGGGAGTCCTTATTTATTCTCTTGGTCCATGAATTTGCTTTGTACTGTAGAGAAAATCCACTGAAATTTGCACGAAAATCCGTACATCCGTTTTCATGTAAAACATTAAATTGCTCGATTAAATTTGGCAATGGCCGATGTGGCTTGGTTCCTTTCTGTTTAACGCGGTCCAATTCCAACCCTGAGCACAGATGAAAGTACCTAGCGGAGAAGAAGTGAGATGCAGTCTGAAACTCATTGATTAAGTATATACGTCGACAACTCATAAGCAAGCTCACTGCTCGAGTGCTTACACGAGTCTACAAGATATAAGCCAGTGGTACCTTGCATTAGCCAAGTAAGATTCGAATAGACTACAATCACGAGAATTTTGGCTTATTAAGCTGAATTGTGTTCTTGCCGCATTAGTAGTTCAACGTCTGGAGGACAACTGAGGATCAGCTGTCCTGCACTTTCGCAAGGAAATATGTTGAATTCAAACAAACAGAGCATGGTACAAAGTGGTAGGGAGGTTAGCTCTGAAAAGGAAAACTAACTTTCGTCCCTCAGCGAAATAACTAACTAAGAGATAAATACTTCGGCTTTGTTTCTTGCACGAGCGGCAGAATTAAACACCGGTAAAGAAAATGAAAACGCAATAAAAACATGGGGAAAATACATACTTTAACAAGTGGACTTTACAATCAATTCCATAAGCACTCACGACTCAAATCACAACTGAATCCTGAATCACAACTAACAACAACTTGCCTGTTGAAGGACGCGCGGCGTGCGCATCCAGACTCCTGCATTTCTCCGAAACTCCAAACGCACTACACACGCGGCTGGATGCGCTCGCCTGGACTCGTTCCCGACTCATTTTCGTTCAACCGCTAGAGACGGTGGATGAACACCTTGAGAAGCGCGCTTATCAACTCAGTCTCCAATCTGCCGCTAGAGACTGTGGACGGAGTCTGTAAAGAGCGCGCTTAGCAATGCTATCTTCAATCTACTGCTACATTTTGTGGATAACGCGAGTATTGGAGCGAGCTCCTGTACGGGCTAATGGATCCAAATGACGGAGCTCAATCTTGCTAACTGGGGTACAGCTATTACCTATACTTACATCAGTTTCTGACGCAAAGACTTGTACTTTTATGTCTTCTTTTGTCTGTTTTCTTACTTGAAATGAAAGATCTCTAAAAACAAGTGGATTTATTTGTTCTTTTAATTTTTATCTTGCTCCCTTTAATATTAAGAAGAACATGTTTTAACGAAGTATCAAGGGCAGCGTGTCCAAAATGGCAACCAAATTTGGCATTCGTTTAGGCCAAAATAGATTAACTGGGTCCAAAATGATTTTTTCCCTGTACCCAAGTAGCATTTTTCAACGGAAAAATCGCGATATTTCGAAATTAAATTGCGATTTTTTTACGATTTTATCGGCGATAAAATCGCTAGGTTCATCAACATCTG